AAAAGATTTTCATTTATTAGTATGGATTTATTGTAATTATTATATTAAAATATTATATGGGATTTAAAGAAAACTCATAAAATGACATGTGAAAAAAAATACATTTGACAAACTGAATGAGAATGTGACATTTGGCAATTAAATCTTCATTTATTAGAATATAAATTTATTATAATTATTATATTAAAATATTATGTGGAATTTAAAGAAAACTCATAAAATGACATGTGAAAAAAATTAATTCAAAATAACCAAAAAATTACATTTGACAAACTAAATGAGAATGTGACATGTGGGAAAAAAATCTTCATTTATTAGAATACTAAGTGTGAAACTTGTGTACTACACGGGTTGATTAAAAATAATTATATATGGAGATATAAACTTTAAATATTTTTTTTAAAGAAAACGTTAAATATCAAAGTGTAAACATTGAGTATTTTTTAGGGTAAATTACACGGATGGTCCCTGTGGTTTAGGGTAATCTGCATGGATGGTCCCTAAGAACTTTTTTTAACTCGGACAGTCCTTGTTATTTGATTTTGTTTCAAGTTTAGTCCTTACCACATTAGAAATGACATTTATACCCTTATTGATTTCGTTTTTAATTATTTTATTGTTAATTGATTATTTATAATATTAAAAACTAGAAATGGGCCCCACCCCCTTCACCTCGTTCCATCAGATTTATCATGTCTTTCCCTCTCTCTCTCATTTCGGTCGAAGATCCCCCAGGGAACGAACTTCTTCTTCCATGAAACTTACCTTCTTCTCACCTTCATCTCCGATAATGATTTAACTAAAGAAATGCATATGGTCCCCCCTCTACTGAAACTGTCATATGCTCTCTCTCTCTCATGTATGTTTGAACCTCCATCGGAAACCATAACCATCGTCAATGACCCTGCTCAAACTGATTAAACTGAAATCTCAAAACCAGAATCTGATGAAATACAAATCACAAAAAACACAACAAATCTGATGACACATGAATCAAAACCCAATCAATGAATCAGGTGTTCCAAAATTCTAACCTGAAGCCATAAAATCCATAAAATTGCATAGAAACGTGATTTTGGGGTTGATTACTTAGGGTTTTGAGAAACAAGCTTTTATATTAGTTCCAAACCACAATCATCCTAAATCTAATTAAATACACAAGATGTTCGTCCATTTTTTTTTGTCAAAATCAACCTGTAAACATAAATAATTTTTTGCATCTAGTTTATTTGTAGATAAGAGGAAAAAATGAGAGGAGTGGAGAGAAGCTGGAGAATCCCGATGCAGCGAGGCTCCATGGATTTTTATTTCAATCCGTCTTCTATTCCGTAACTGCTGCCGACGACGCTCTGACCATGAACCCTAACTGCCTCCCGTTCTAACTACAAATCCTAATCATAATCAATCAATGGAGATCCGACAGGGTAGGGATGCAGAGAGAGGTTTCCAAACAGGAATCTCGAGCGGAGAGGAGAGAAGAGGAGACGAAAGGGAAGAAATCTCACCTGGTTGTTGTTGGATTGGCGTCTCTCGCCGGAGGAGTGGTCATCGGAAAAATGGGTGAGAAGTAACTGAGCAAAAAAGAGAATCGGGTGAGGGTGAATGGGGATAACGTGAGGAGTGGGTTTTTTTTTCTTTTTTATTTAAAAACGATAAAAAAAAAATAGAAAATTAAATAAAAAAAACATAAGGGTATAATAGTCTTTTTACGTCATTCAGGGACTAAGGACGCAACAAAACCAAAACAAAAGGACCGTCCGAGTTAAAAAGAGTTCTTAGGGACCATCCATGTAGATTACCCTAAACCACAGGGACCATCCGTGTAATTTACCCTATTTTTTAAAATAAAATTCCAAAATATATATACAAACAAAATGATGAATAAATAAATAATTCAATTTATATTAAAAAAAAACTACAGAAAAATAATTATATTTTGACCTTATAACATTTTTTAGTTTGTTAATAAAAAGCAACAAAATTTGATTATTTTTTTTATATAGACCATTTTGCCTAAAATGATAATGAACTTTAAAAGAAACATGTCAATTTTGAATTATATATATTGAAGGAAAAATATTAAATTTAAAAATATAAGGAAACAAATTAATGCCACATTAATTACTTTCTATAATCTAAAAGTTAGATATTTAATTAAGAAAATCAAAAATTACCATAAAATGACAAGTGGAAATTAATTTCTAAGAATTAACCACAAAATTACATGTGTCCAAATGCATAAAAAATTGACAAGTGGCAAAAGGTTCTTTATTTATTAGTAGGGATGATAAATGTGCACGGAGTATAATGTTGGTTAGTTGTGAATAGTTATGATGTTGATTAGGTGATGCAGAAAAAAAATCGATGTCTATATTAACAAAGAAAATTATAAAACAGAAAAATAAACCCAATACATACTAATAATTAAGAGCTGAACTTTAAAAATACCTTAGTCAACAATCTATCATGCTCTAAGGCTATCCATAGTCCAATTAACTTTACAAAATTTAGTAATTGTCACATCTAACATCTATAATTTATTTAATACATTAAAATTTTAATGGATTAAAACATCAACATATTAGTTTTGATAAGGGGGTCCACTTTCTTAACTTCCACCTCCACATTAACTTACAATGTATATCCAACTATCATTATATGTCACATCAACCCTCTCTTTCCCCTTCATTCAACTTTTATTAAACTTGCATTGTAGATTCTACAAGTCTGTGGAATTATGAACACTCATTCTTATATCTAAAAGACAAAATCCAAAGCAATATATTATAATTTTCTTCCAAAAAAGTAAATTACATTGTGAAAATGTAATAAAAAAAACCAATAAACATTAAGAGCATCACAATTGTATGAACTTTCTCTAACGCATAACATTAACTAATTTTGAGAAAAACTTTTTGGCAAAAATATGCCAAAATCCAACCGGGACCCACATCTCTAACACACACACACACAAACTAACACATTCTTATCGTTGACTTTGCTTTCGTTTCTTTCTCATCCGTTCCCGCCTTTCTTCTTCTTCTATTTTCTTAAGTTCTTCTTCATCTTCCTTCTTAGCAATCCAAGCACTAAATCACAAAAATCAAAGGGGTTATTTTGTAAATAAGTAGAAGTATAGGGGTTAAAACTTAAAAGTGTCGAAGAGGCATACTATACTAACCTCCGCTTCTCCTCGCGCATGATGTCATCAAAACCAGCCTCCATGTCACTATCATCATCATCATCACCATGATAATTTTTGGGATTATATCTACAAACACATACAATCATCACAAATAGAATCATTAGCGTTTGTTTAACGGAATCGGAATGGAATGACTGATTCCATTGGAATCAATAGAAGACTAAATGACCAAAATACCCTTTATTGATTAGTTCCATGACAAGCTTACGAGACCAATTTCGTCTTTTTATTAAAAAAAAATGGAATTCAATTCTTACTTGAGCATGCTTCTCATCATACTAAAAGGCTTTCGCAGTATCATCATCATCATCATCATCCTCAAAAGGGCGAGATGGTCTTTTCTGCACCCGTTCTCTTTGTTGTCCACTAGTCGAAAGCCTCCCCTGTTGTTGTTGCTTCATCTATCAATAATTCCACAATCATCCAAAATTAAAATACATTTCATTATCTTCAAACATAAAAAAATTTAAACACACACACACATACACAAAAACACACAGAATATTCACATTCACATACCTGAGGCTTAGAAGACAAAATCGGCTTTCTAACAACATTTCCTTTACTAGATTGTAATCCTAATCCCCCTCTATCTCTATCTCTATCTCTATCATCACCTCTTCTATTTTCATACCCTCTATCTCTATCATCCCTCCTTTGTTGAGATTGTAATTGTAATCCTCTTTTTTGATCCAATGGTTTCTTTTGGGTGACACCTGGCAGTGGTCTTGAGTTTGATGTTTGAGGTCTGTGATTGTGTCCGGTGGGTATGCTTCTAGAAACAGGTGGTGGAATCACTTTTTGCTTGGCGGCAACTGGCGGCATCTTGGAGGGCATCGAAGGTTTTTGTCCTGAAGGCCGCCCGGGACCACTCCCGAGTTGTTTTCGAGGATCTAGGGACGAAGATGTCATTTTACTTGAACCATTAGGCCTTTGACTTTGTTGTTGACCGGGTGGTGGTGGTCTCACTCGTGTTTGGTTAGATGTGGGGGCCGGTCTTCTCTCTTCACGGCCATTTATGACTTTTCTACCCCCGTTGTTGACCGGTGGTCTTGGTGACACATGTGCATCTTTAACATAGCAAGAACTCATTAACTCATTATAAATATTTAAAAAGATAAAAAGTTTTGAAAAGTTAAATAATTGGAATCGAAAAAAAAAATACCAGGTTTTGGAGCAGAAGAGGGTTTTGGAGGGTTTTTTGGTGGAATTGGAAGCTCAGCATCATCTGATAATAGAAATGAGTAATCTCTAGTGTTTTTAAGCATTTGGATTTTTGCTTTGGGTTTAGCCTAAAAGGGTAAAATGGGAAATGTGAGAATATGTGGATTACAAATTTACAATGAATATTATTGGTTAGATCATGAAATTGAATCTTACCCATGTGTCTACTTTTCGTGGAGGCTCATTGGGTCTAGGTTTGGATCCTGTTGGAGCTGAAGAACTACCCTTGTTTTGTTGTGGAAGCTATTAAGGAAAAAGGAAAAGAGAAATAACTCGATTAAAGTAAAATTTTGTTGTGTATAGAAGAAATTAAATGTTAGATAAAGGAAAAGGAAAATACATACGATATTTCTTAGCTTTTGGAACCCTTTCTGCCAAATGTGGATTCTCCAACAATGACTTGCTTTCTTGAATTACCCTTTGAGCAATTACTGGTTGTGAAGGACCAAAAAAGGATCCAAAGCTGCAATATATAGAAAAATTACATGTTGATAAGTATGTTATATTGGAAATTTACACTTCAAAAATGTTTAAAAAGAATGGTAGTATGGTACTCACTTGTCATATGGCATTTTATTCTTTTTTTCCCGAAAATTGGCAAGGCCAGAACCTGAATCTTTTTTCATCTTCTTTCTTATAGATTCCTTTAATTTTGCTCTCAATTCAAGGTATTCCATCTCTTCCTGTGTAGGTAATCGGTCCTCTTCTTCCTCTTCTTCTTCTTCTTCATATTCACCAACATTATCTTCCTGGTATTCACCTTCATCTTCGTAATCTTCATATTCCTACATCAATGTAACCATATGCAATGAAGTAAAGTTAAAAGTATCAAAAAGAAAATGGAGATGAAATGGAAAGTAGCTCACATCTAAATCATATCCTCCCATTATACTTCTATATCTTCAATCTTCAAAGTTCTTCAAGCCAATACTTTACTAGAAGGAGAGGCGTTTAGGGCAGACTGCATCAAAATACAAAGCATACAATATTCATGTTATCCCAAAAAGAATGTTTTAAGAAACACATATAGAATTAATATATAACGTGTTTTCAGGCAAAGAATCGAGCTATGGTCAACATTGATTGAAAAAATTGAGCACGAAAGAAAACCCAATTCATGGGGTGTACATTTTAACCAAATTAGGGTTTTAGTGTTAGAATCGGTCGAAGAACCAAATTAACAGTTACCACATGGAACCAATATCACAATCGGACTGAAAACGCCAGAAATTGAAGGAGGCGAGACATAAAACGGATTAAGAACAGAAGAGGATTGGGTTATTGAAGCACAAATTTCGAACTTTCTCGCGAATTTTCACGTTGCAAGATGTTCAATCCCCAATTGTTAACTCACCAGATCAATAAAATTACAAAATCTACAACAAATTAGAGAAATTTCTGCATAAGATCAGAAAAAATTGCGAAAAAAACAGAACAAAATAGTTCAATTGAAAGGGGAACTCACCAGAACCCTAATAATCGCAATTTCGAGACTTCTGAATCAATCCGCTCAGTTCTTGATACTTGATCGATCAAAGAAAACGCCCAAAACGAAAACGAAAGCACACCGATCGGATGACGGTTACAATTCGGTGGTGTTCCAACACAAATCTCGATTTAACTCTGATGATCGATTACGGCCTCAAGCCCTCTTTTAATTCTTCCCTTCATCACCCGGTTTGGAGTTGTATATCCGCGCAGGGAAAACCTTGAAGTTTTTGACTTCTTACAAAACATACCCCTCAAGATCGGTTTAATTTGATTTTCAACTTGTACTATGCAAACTTAACTTTTTTCTATTACATGTTTTACCATGTTGATAATGACCAACCATATAAATCTATTGCCAACTTGCCAAGTCATACTATGCAAAGTTAAGAGGGAGAAATATGTGATGATTTATATCTATGCTAAACATATATATTTTTGTACATGTTTTTCCATGTTGATGTTAGATTATAATCTAACATCAACATGGAAAAACATGTACAAAAATATATATGTTTAGCATAGATATAAATTATGTTTTCCATATTGATGTTAGATTATACAACACCACATGAAAACAAAACCACTCAAATTATATATATATATATATATATATATATAATATATATATATATATATATATATGAACAGGTTCCGGATATGAAATGGGGTAAAGTGGGTCTAGACCGGGTTTACGGGTTTCAAGCTCATCCCTACAACATATCAGTCTTATATTTTGTGGCAACCAGTTTCTTAGACTTAGTAAGAAAATTTGGAAGTGTATTATAAGCAAGAAAGCGTTGTTTGTCTATATGATTTGTGGTAGCTCATAGAAATTCAAGACTTATATATCACTATGTATTGAGAAAATTTAAGACGTAAGTTGTGTTGGTTGATGAAGTATCACCAAAAGACATTAAATGACCAACATAAGAATAAGACATTGTATGAAGCACACAATATCAATTTTATAACTCAAGACTACAACTTCTTATCAATCAAGGATGGAATAGTTTCTTGTAAGTCAATATTGCAATCAATTTTAAGGCAAAGCATATATGCGAAACCAATAATTAAATGCATCACATATTATATATGATTGTTAAAGATAAAGAATATGTGATAATAACACATGTTGCAACACCATATGTGAAGATTTAGTTGTTTGCATTATAACATACACGTATTTTTTTAATGGTTGTACTTTCACATAATGAACAAATGGTGCATGATATTGTTCCTCTTATTCATGATCCTCTATTTAGTATAAATAGTCATCAAATCGTCTGTTCGAGCATTAGTTTATTGTATCTATCAATCTTATTTACAAATGCTAAAGTAATTGTGTTGCTTAGCAAAGTGTGTGTGTGTGTATATATATATATATATATATATATATATATATATATATGTGTGTGTGTGTGCGTGTGCGCGTGCGCGTGCAGTGTCCAAGGTTCTAATAATATCAGGGTCTTTTGGCTTAGCATAAGTTGTTAATTTATGAAGGAAATAATAAATTAATTAAAAATTACTTTGGATTTATTAAATTGTTTTAATTAATTAGAGATCTTGAATATTAATTAATTTTTAGAGATTAATTTGGAATATTCCAGAAGCTTTTGGACAATGCATGAAACAGTTTTGATAGGAATCTTGGATAGGCATGAGAGAATTTTGAATCAGATTAGTATTAACCTTAGGAGTTTGAATCCTTATAGGATTCTATCTGCAACCTATAAATAATTTACTAAGGGTAAACCCTAGAGTTGTTGATTCCTTCTCAATTTTTGTCTGGTCTCTCTTTCTCTGTCTCACTCTATCTTTTTCCTTCTCTTTCTCTCTCTCTCTCTCTCTCTCTCTCTCTCAGTGGACGAATTCCTAACCTCTCTCTTAGGTTTAGAGAATTTCGATTAAACCCTAACATAGGGTTTGTTCCTATGCATTTGGTGTTTGTGGGTCTAACTTCATTAGAGGGATTCTATTTTTGATCCTTCATCAACTGTAAGAATCGAGACGTACGAGATCCCAATCGAGTAATCAAGAAGTTAGCATGTTTCTTTCTAATTGATTTTTAAATTTCGTTTCTATAACAAGTAAAACCTAAATCTGGGATGCATGTACACTTAGGTAAATCTTTTGATTGTTTCCACTACATTTGGATTGTGTATTTGTAACAACCCAAAAACCATGGCTAAATTTTTCATTTTTTTAAAGTAAATAAAACATCCATTTTAACAAAATTGCATCCAGAGCAACCCATTTGTTCATAATCCATTACTCACAAATCAAAGTTAATAGGAAGACTGATGGGTATTAAGCATAAGAACAATCCTATGTGCTCATACAAACCCTAATGCTTGGATCTAGGTTTCTCTATTGTACATGCATTGAATCCAAGACTTGCAAACCCTAATCTAGCATACATAAATCGAAAATTAACTTAATACATCAGATCTAGATGTTTACCTCTTCAAAGATTGGCTTAGATCTTCTTTTCTTCTTCTCTTGAGCTTAGAGTCACAATTGTAACTCCTCTAATGGATCACAAACACCTCAAGCAAGAAGGCAACTTTGAAAGAGGAGGGAGGATGCTAATTTTCAGCCCTAGGGTTTCTCTTGGAAGCAAGTGGACGAAAATTGGAGCCTTAGGGTCTTATTTATAGTGCAGGCTGCTAGGGTTTCAGTCTAAACCCTAATGGATACCTTAGCCACCAAGTAGCCCAAGGAACCTTCTGGAATAAGGCCCTTGGACGAAAATATGATGATCCTTCATCATAATTTCGTTCCCCCTTAGTCCATTAGGTTTCCCAGCCCAAAACTCAACTATCACACATTTGACAGTTTATGCCCCTTTATTTAATTAATCTCTTTTAGTCACCAAATTAATTCCTAATTAATTTATGACTAATACTAATTAAATAAATATGATTTCTCCTTTAATATATTATTCTTATAATATATTAATAAACCATAATATCCTCTCTCTCATATCAAATTACCTTGTCAAGTTGCTTTGGTGAAGGCAACCCAAAAGGACCATGCATAACCGGGTCAAGTACATATCAAATATAGTTACGGGCTTAGACACTAATCCAACAGTCTCCCACTTGGATAAGTCTAGTAACTATATCTCACATACGACTTCAAGATCTAGTTAGCAATCGCAGCTCTTATACGCTTCTGTCAAATCTGATCAAAATCTTGTCCTTCAGATAAGGGATCGTATAATCCTCTGTTCTAGATATCATGCTGACAATACTTATTATCCAGCATTTTGTTTCTCGATCTCTGATTTATTCGACATAGAATTTAGTCAAACACATCAACTTCATTCTGACCGGGCCCGACACATAAGTCAAACTAAATCATCGAGTGGCCAAGATATCGCTTTTATTCTCTTAGAATAAAAGGTACAGAAAAACTTCGACTTATATGCTTTTATCATTTACTAGCTAAGTCACACACAATAATGCGTTTTATAACATCAAGTTACTGATGCGTTTTCGCATTATCAATGCATAATCAACTAGCAAACAACAACCATATCTCTAGGTTTAAAGATTATATGATATTATCATCTTGCGATCACTTATGGTAACTTTCATGAAGTGATACTAGCAAGTGCGGGTTTATTCCAATGCTCAAAACAAATTTCATAAGCACTCATAAACTTCGTAGCAAACCTTTGCTATGTCTAAAACCTTTCATACAATCTACAAACAAATTTATGACAATCTTCTTTCATATCTACTTCCAACATATGAGCGATTGTGGACTATTCGAACAATCTTATTATTCAGGAAGTCAAAACATGCAAAATTGGAAATAACAGATAAATAATCAACACAAGATAGTAACTTTCTTATAAATAACACACCTTTATTTAATCATGTAACATCCCGAAATTCAGGTGCATCTCTTATACCCTTCTTCTTTTCCAAGTTGACAAGTTTGGCCCTTAAAGGAAATATTAAAGCAAATGAGTACGATGGGCGCACTGAAGAGTACGTTGCGCGTACTCATGCGCTTAATTTGGGCGCGGACTCGCCTAGGTACGCTGGGCGTACCCAAGGTTATGTTGGGCGTAATCGGCCCAGATGCAAACCCTAAATTGTGGCTTGTGCACTATAAAAGGAATGTTAAGGCCTTATCCTCAGCCACCATTTCAGAGAGTGAAACCCTAATAGAGAGCTACCCTTCGTTCCTAACTTTTGTGTGTGTGTTCTAAGCTTCACAGTTTCATTTCAAGGTGGTGAAAGAGAAGAGGAGGCCATTTTAGGAGCTAGAAGTTGGTGGACAAGAGTAGATTTGAGTTCTACAGAGGTTGGAGCTTCTTCCTGAGGTAAAAAGCTCAAAGCTTTCCTTGTCATTTGTGATTTGTGTTTCTTGGACCAACTTTTAGGGTTTTTGGTCCCAAGGTGGAGACTTTATGAGCACATGGTCTCCATAAGCCTAGATCTGCTATATTTCAGAGTAAAATGAGTTGTAGGTTCATAAAAATCCAATCTTGGACATGAATATTGAGCCATGCATGAGATCTAGACCTTATGAGGAAGAGGGAAAGGTGTTAAAGTGATTAGGTACTTTTACAACTATGCAAAGGCTTAAAGGTCTCGACTTTATGGATTAAGTGGTCTTAGAGAAGTCAGATCTGGAGTTTGAGTTTATGTCTTAACCATTTAAGACCAAAATCCATGAATGCATGAAACTGAGACTTATGTTGGGCGTAAATCTCAGTAGGCGCAACGTAAGGGTCTGAGACCCCGATTCTGGATCGTCGGAGTACGCCCAGCGTACAAGAGCTGGTACGCGCCGTGTACTGCCCCTGTTGACTTTCTTTGACCTTTAGTGTTTTGGTCAACATTTGGACTTTTGGGTCAGGGAGGGGTAAAATGGTCTTTTACCCTTCTGTGGGATTGTAGGAAGGGATGTGATCTAGTCTTTGAGAGCCATTATTTATTCGAGAGTACTGTTTATGTGCTTAGGCGGGGACTAGATCAGTGTTTTCGTGTGCGAGATTATCCGAGATACCCGAGGTGAGTCTTCTCACTATACATTACCAAGAGTGGTATTTATGTGTAGACCAGAGGGTCTTGTGTGCTATGTGTATATATGAGATTATGTGCATTGTGTTATATGTATGCTATGTGTTGAACAGACCTGGCCGGAGGGCCCAACGAT